TTGTGCGCAGCTGGAATGCAGCCGCTCTTACCACCATTCCGGACTATGTTGCAGCGTTTCGTCTGGATCCTCCGTGTGTGCAGAGAAATTTGTCGTTCCGCTCCATATTTAATATCGTACACGAGCCGTCATACGCTCCTGTGTACACGGAACCTTCAAATATCCCGGAGAACACGGTGTACTTTCCCCGGGAGAGAGAAGAGAGAAAGAGAGAGAGAGAGAGAGAGAGAGAGAGGGAGAGAGAGAAAGAGGTGGAGGAGACCTCTATTTTTAACTTTATATTTGATAGAAATAACAATCTCTCCATCCGGAAAAAGGGAACTCCAATTACAAAATAATATTTTCTAATATCTCATATATATTCTAAGCAGGAGAAAATACTTCTTTTTTTGTGTAAGTGGATTATAAATCCTATTAATCTGAAATGTATTAGATATCACTTTAACTTGTGAGATTCTGATGGTTTTCCTCTCTCACTCTCTCCCTCTCTCTCTCTCTCTCTCTCTCTCTCTCTCTCTCTTGAATCCAGGGATATATGATTACTTGAAGCGGAATGCCCTCTTACGCGACGAGCAATGTGTATCGCTGAGCTCTACCGTGTATGATAGACTGGAGCCATTCAAGTCGAAATTTATAATCCGCCATAAGTCTCGAAAATGCTGTCATTGCAATGCCTCGTGAATGCTGTAAGGCTACATCACACAGGCATAAGTCACAAGGATAACGTCAGAGCCGTTGAAATCTACCTGCCGCACGAAATCAAGCGCTATTTTTCTAGAAGAAAAATAGTAACCGGTCGGGATCGAAACCATCGAAGGACGCAAACGTATTAAGTGCGTGACAACCTTCGATCGCTATTATGTTTTTTCTTTTTTTTTTACTGAACATTAGTTCTTTTCCACATCTTGGATTTTGAATGTTAAACTTTACATATTCGAGGTAGAGCTCGCCATTACAGAAGGTAACTTTCCATCACCTCCACGGATCTCACGCTGCGCGAACGATTATTATTAGTGATTTTTCTGGGAAGAGAGCTCTTCCCGCGAAACGGGGCTTTTGGTTAGCTTCGACTTCGCGACCGATTGTTTTTCTTCGGCCGCTGAAAAACTATTTTCGCGGACGGCTATCGGGCGGGTGGTTGCTTTGGCGAGCAACTTGCAACATGTGCCCGGCTCTGTGTAAACAATCGCGATTGTTTAAAGGCTTCTCGGGAGAAGCACTCATCCCCGTTCCGTAAACACGTCTCTAATAAATCGCGCAGTTTTATTCGCGACTAACGACGCCTGCATGTATTTCCGTCACCTTGACGCGAGCGGTCACGCGGGAGTCGAGTCCGAAATAGTTCGATATAATGCGAAATATTGGCCGAGTCCCCCTGAACGACAGGTCGTTCCCAGACATGTCTGCTTTTGCGACATAACTCAGTCAGTGATAATTAGAGTGCGCGCAAATAGAAGCATACTGCTATCCAAATGGGCAAAGATATTCTGATGATAATTGTAAGATGTCTCGATATATTCGTCATGTACAAGTCTGAAAGAACTGACTTGAGTAAATTTGAACATTTGTGCGACAGAAACAAGCACAGTTCGATAGTTAAACATCTCAAGGATACATATAAAGATGTTAACATTCTGAGTGTAATTCAATTGAGACTTCTGTCCCCTTGTCGCTGATACATTGGCTTCGTGAATATAATTAAAAACAAAATTCTAAACTTCCCGTCATCGACTATCTCACGTCGTGGCAATCATGGAAGTCTATCTGGATATGCGTCAGCATACATCTGGGTATGCAACAGCACTCCCGATAACAGTTAAAGCTTTACAAACCTTAGAATATTGCTTGTGTTTCGAATCATGCACTAAGAAAAACTTGAAATCATGCACTAAGAAATGCTTGATATTGGTGATTATAATCACATAGAGAAATAATTACTATAAGTCATGGTCAAGAAAATCATTTCGCGCGCGTTGTCAAATTCTACTATAATGTTAGCGATAATGCGACTATACGCATGTCACAATTCCACTACAAAAAAAATATGGTGGAGGCCAAAATTAACTATAATTTCAGTTAGATCAACCATTTCCTTCTTTCAGTGTAGACACTTCACGATCATTTCTGGATATTCATGCAAAATCCTCCGAGGAAAAATGCAAATGCATAACAGAGAAGCGTGCAAAGTGAGAAAAAAATGATTAATGTCGCCAAAGTTATTAGTAATTTGCAGCGTCAACTATATAGATTTTCTTGTTGCTCTCATGAAAAAAAGTAGCGATAACAATATAAGTATAGCGTATAAGGTTATTGCCAATCTATCGTTGTAGTAACACTTACTGCAAAAGTGATTCTCTCGACTACAATTACCTCATCATGCAATTGTATAGTTACAAACACCAAACGTTTTTTTTTTCTTAGTGCACGACTCCGTAGGACTCGAGTGCGCGCATAGAAAAAGGAATATTCTTGTTTGGAGAATATCTTTATTCGTTGGCATTTTAAAAATAAGATTAACGTTAAAATGAGATTATATGGCGTAAGATAAATTAGTCTTCGATCAAGACGAGTGTTATCAAATTAACACAATCATTTTCTCACAGAATATTCCAAAATCAATATTCTTGGTTCTACATTATTAGTCTGCGATCAAGACGAGTATATCCAAATTACAAACACAATCGTTTTCTCATATATAATCAACATGATTAATATTCTTGTTAATGTGTGAGAAAATCATTGGGTTAATTTGGCTGAATTCGATCGAAGACTAATTTGTCTTCGTTCAACGCCATATAATCTCATTTGAACATCGATCTTGTTCTTAAAATGTCAACAGTAAAGATATTCCCCGAGCATTCCTTTTTTCTGTGCGAAGTCTAAACGCAGCCGCGAACTCGCGCGAGCCTCAGCCGCGTAATTTATTGCACGCGCCGTACGTTATATCCTCCTCCTCGGATATACATCGCGTCGCATTGTCGTTTGTTTCGAGCAACGAGTTAGATTACTGCTGGTGAACTTCACAACTTAATTCTCTTTCGCATCGCAGCTGCGAATATCAGTCTACCACGATTGCTCGCGAGCTTACGCGCTTTACTCGCAAAATCTCGGCTCGGCCCGGCTCGGCGAGTAACTCAAAACTTCGCGCTAAACTCTTGCATTACCTTTGTCGTTCGCTCTTTCCCATCCTCCTCCCCTCCTCCTCTCTCTGTCTCTCTCTCTCTCTCTCTCTCTCTGTCTCTCTCCCTCTCACGGGCGCGTTTATACTAGACGAGTCCACTGGCTGCACTAAAACGTCGGAAAATTCGTTATCAATTCCTGCTTATCGGGATGTGCCGTCGCTTCCCGAATAAGGACTCATTCATCCGCTCGGACGAGCTCTGAAAGCGCGTGCGAGGATTAACTTGAAATCAGCGCCGCGGCGTGTACTGATTACGAACAATCGTAATTAAATTCTTTCCGCGCTAATGACTGCCGGCACTTGAGCTCCGTGCAAATGATATTTAAATTAGCACGCGTCCCGTATACTAATCGAGCCGAACCTTCTCGAACCGCGGATGTGCTCTTTCTCTGTCTCTCTCTCCCCCCCTCTCTCTCTCTCTCTCTCTCTCTATCTATCTCTCTCTCTTTCCACCGAATTATTAATTAATATCGCGTTACGATTGCATCAGTCCTGTGCGATCGGTCCGGCAAAAATACGCGGTAGAATAATAATTGCAATGATCTCTCGTTGTTTCCTTCGGCCGTTATTACGCCCGACACTTGGAAATTCGCGTCGAAACTCTACAAGACGACACCATACCTCTCGCCATACCGAGAGAGAATTGTTTGGTATTTGTAACTATAATCACATAGAGGAACAATTATTACAGATACGTTTAGGAACAATTATTACAGATTACGTTGAGGAAAGCCATTTTTTTCATAAAATTCTGCTATAATGACAGTGATGGTGATCTCATACGCACGTCACCACTGCACCACTTCACTAGAGAAAATATGATCGGAGCTGAAAACAACTATAATTTCAATTCTAATCAATTATTTCAATAATAGAGGAACCACTCTTTCGCCTGAGCGCGGGCAGATCGCTGGCGAATGCTTCGTCGCGACTCGAAAGATCAATTTGCTCTCGACAAATCAGTCGTCGATACACAGATATAAGAGCTCGATACGAAGAGCCATTAGAAAATTATCGCGGTAATGTATTCCGTTTTCAAAATAACCAAGTGTTGAAGTGAAATATGCGAATTACGCGAATATCCGAATATCGGGCCTCCGAATGTTCGATGCCCGATTGGTGAAATATTTAAACGTCTGTGAATTCCTAATTAAATATGCAAATATCTGTCGATATTGCACTACTTCCATATTTAAATATAAAAAATTGAATTAAAACAGAAAAAACACGAAATATCTTTGTCTGCGCGGGCATCCATCAATATTATATGCGGCTAATAATAAGGTTTTCGCTCTCACTCGCTTTTAATAAAAATTATCAGTCTGCCCCATATCATATTTCAAAACAGCGTAAAATTTCGCCTATAACGCGCGATTCATGCCGCAATATATATGTGTGTGTGTGTGTCGCGTTGATATTATTAATAGTGATGTCCTCTAATGTTATAGGAATTCCCCTTTCTCTCCCGTCCTTTGCCGCACTGTTTTACTTTTAATAGAAAAACTTTTCAACTATGTGCGCGGTAATGTGATAGAAAAGAAGATTAATACTGAAGGATGTAAATCTCTCTTTCTCTGAAAATGCCCAGCGTCATTACATGAGAACATCCAGCTATTGTATAGCTGACTTCTAAAGGAAGAGAAGTCTTATATACATATATGTATTCATACATATATATATATACATATATTATAATTCATATACTCAGGAATCTCTGAAAACATAAAGCCCGAATTGACATTATCGAGCGTTCATCTTCTCTTCCAGCATGCGCACTCTACTCAAAACGCAAATATAATTACGGAATGTCATCCCTCACCGAAATCGTTGAAGCAGAGAGGACAATTCTGTCAGATATCAAAATAGATCCATCTACTGTTCGCCGAGAGCAGCTGGATTCAATCCGCCGATTCTTCAAATCTATCGGGCCGCAGATCGATCAACTTCAAGCTCTTATTGCTTTCTGGGTAATTCCACTTCTGTATGTCGCTCTTATTGTATTCAGGACTGTTCAGATGGTACTTGCTCGGTGCGGTAGCGCAGCAGCGGGATAACCAGAAGCCCTTTAAATGTCACGCCTCCTCATCTTAAAGGTCCCGGAAACGCGGAGCGAAGGTGCCCCCTGCCCCATTCAACGAGGATGCAAACGGGATTCTAAGGGAGCACTACTCGTCAGGAGTACGCCAAAAGCCCAACTGCATGGAGAGAGTCCTGCGCGATCAGTCGACGGCGAGAGTAGTTGCGAAACGCGCGAAACACTAACTCGGCTCTCTGCTGACTTCACTCTTCATCAACTTCACACTGGTGGGGGACGACCTTCCTCTGGATTCTACGGGGATCTCGTGGAGACCAAGCTGGTATTTTAGATTCCCCTTTCGGAAGCCGCAAAACGTGAGACGCGCGCCCTCGATTCGTGAATTCTAATAAAAGTCCGGAATCCGCACCAGCACGTTTACTAAAAATCCGCACGAGCCCGTTTACTCGGACGTTCTCGCCAACGATCCCGAGGAGTGTCCACCGACTGTCCGGGCGAGACCTCGCGAATTCCGCGCTGACGTTTACAAATCGCCCAAGCTCGAACTCCCCGGTCTTCTCGTCCACGCGGAAGATTCCCGGGGGAAGTTTCCCGAAAAGATGTTGAACGCGAGAGATACCGTGGAAGGCGCGCAGCGGTCACTCTTCTCGAGAGCGTGTTCCTCGTCCGCGCTCGACGTCCAAGCTCCGCGGAATCTATGAAAACCCGGGTCGCCTCATGCTTCCTCGCAAATTTCCAGTCCCGCTGTCTCGCGAATTTCTCTAAATCCCCGCGAAATACCTCGAACTCTCCGGGTCTCTTCGCGGAGCCGCGACTTGTTGTCCTGCGGATTCTCAAGGATCCTGAAGGAGACGGGGAGTCTACGCCTCGAGTCCCTCGAGACCAGCTTGGCCACGAGAACGCACCGCGGAGGACGTATCGGTGCGGCGGTCTATCGATCGATCACGAACGAGTCTCGATCTATAGGTTGCCAGCTGAGCGATTCGGCCTGGTAGGCCTTGCCCTTCCAGGACACCGACCTGGTGACTTGGTCGTTCTCTCGGCGTCGTCGTTCGATCGCGTACGCGATCGCGGCACTGCGGACGAGGCGGAGGCGAGGACGCAGCGACGGCAGACGGACGCGAACTGACAGTGCGGCGCTTGGTACTCGCGCGTCGCGGCGTCGCGCGTCGCGACGTTGCGCGTCCGTCGGTCCGTCCGTCGGTCCGTCGGTCGGTCGGTCGGTCGGTCGCCCGCCCGCCCGCGGCGACCTCTTTCGAGCGCGAGCTCGCCGCGCATATTCCAGAACGGAACGGAACCGCTCGCCGCGCGGCGCGACGCATGCTGCGCGGCCAGTCGAGCGGAAGGAGAGACGACGTGGAAGAAGCTGCGAAGGATGCACGCAACAGTTGTTCGAGCATCCTTAAATTCGAGGGTGCTCCTGTCCGCGTGCACGCTCAGACGCGCGGGGATGCTCAAATCCCCGATAAACTCGGGCCCTCTCGGCCGGCGTCTCTCGGGTTCGCGCGGAACTCGGGGGAAAGGATCGCGCCGGAGCGATTACTGTCTTCTCTTTACCTTTTTCTTTTTTTCTTCTCTTTTTTTAAGGGGGAGGGGCGGGACGGAACAAAACGTCCTTTCCGCATCCTGAGAGAGGCATATGTCTAAGATAAGAAGTGAAATATATTTATTCGCGCGGCGTAGGAATTAATAACACATTTACGGCACACTGACGTACGTATCTCTGCATTGCGACAAATGTTTCTTCGAATGGGGAGATACAAGTTTTCTTAAAACCACGCAACTTTTCACGAACTTTTTTTTATTCTCCGCTTAATCTGTTTAAATCTGTTCAAATAAAAAAATTGTACAGGATAAAAAAAGAATTATATATAACAAACGCGTTATTAGAGTGGGCCCATATTTTTTTAATACTTTTTCTCTTATCGCCTCTATCTTTTTTTTAGGAAGAATCTTGCGAAATATTATTGCCGTACCGAGAGAAAAAATATCTAAAAAACAGAACAGAAAATGTTTATTCGGTGAGTGTTAGTAATATACAAATGTATACTGATATGCATATTTTGACGCTGCGAGAAATGTTTTCTCAAATGGGAAAATATGCATGTTTTTAAAACCGTAGTTTTGTATAAAGACAATTGTTTTGTATTTAAATTCTATTTAAATGCAAAAATTATACATGACAGTAAAAGAATTATAGTAAATATGTGTTACTAATAGCCATCGAATAAATATATTTCTCTTATTTCTTTTAATGTCCTTTCTCTCGGGACGACCGTAATGGAAGGTTCTGCTTGCCCCTTAACTCTGTGCATTTTGTGTCAATTTTGAAATTTGTCACGGGGCGCAGAAATGGCATTACTCTTTCCCTCTTTCTCTTGAGAGACCGGAGTTTGTCGGAAAAGAGCTCTCAGACGCGGAAGGCCGCGATAACGATTATTTACCGAAAAATGAGTCACTACGAGGGTCCCTTTCAAGTGTGATATGTATCACGATACACGTTGCCGCGCGCAAACCAACGGCGCGCATTCAGCACACGTGTACTTACCCACGATCGAAGCTATCATTCGTCAATCTGAGATCGGCAAAAGAACAAGTTGATTCATGGACCGACGTTGCGCGAATCGAAGATTAATCGTGGCCTGTAAATAAATCCTCGTAAGGATGAAATACGGATCGACGAATATTCTCGGTGATTCGCGCAATTCCATGCTTATTCATCGAGTAACAATCGACCATGGAACAATCGGAAGTCCTAAAAGATCCTACGAACCGTGGGCCTGGCGAGGGTGCTCTTAAATTGCGTATTGACTATAACCTAACCTAACCTAAGCGCAGCACCGTCAAAGTAACATACGGAAGCTCGCACGAGCCGGCCAATTCCATGCGAGTCGAGGCGCCCCGACATGCGGATACAACGCTCTCAAATTAAGTCGCCGCGAATTTGAATATTGTTAACATTCAATTTGGAGCAATTCGCTAAATGCTGCGCACCGTGACCCCGGCGCTAATTACATAACGCTAAATCGCAACAACAATCTGCTAATTCATCTACACACGCGATCACCTCGCGGAGCAGCCGATCCTGACACGCGTATCGCATATCACGTGACTCGCGCGGATCACGGCAGGCGATCCGGCAAAGTTTCGTGTCCGGCCTGACAGCGCGCGCGGCTTTGAAGGCGCGGGGGTGCGCGCGTACGTGTGTGTGTGTGTGTGTGAGTGTTTGCGTGCGTGCATTCGTGTGTGCACGCGTGTGTGTGTACTTGCGCGTGGGTGGTCGGGCGGGTAGTTTCACGTACTACAGCGCGGCAACGTCGACGTGAAACGAAACGCTGTGAGACATGAGAACGGAATTCCCAACGGGAACATAAAGCCGCGGACGCCCCTTTTCCGGCGGCGTCTCGACGCCTCCGACGCTCGCGTATACGTGCCACGTCACGCGGCCGACGCGCGAGATCCGGCTGACAACGCGACGCGTCACGATGCGACGCGACGCGCAGCGCAGCGCGTGAGGGACCTGAGAAAATAGCGAAACGCCACCCAACCGGACCATCCGACTGTGCCTGAATAAGGTTCGAGGCAGACTTTTTAAAGGGACTTGAAACTGAGAACGCTTGAAAATGAGAACGCCTGTGGATATAGCAGAAGCGGAGATACCGTGGACTTGTAGAATAGACTGCGCACTCTTGAGGAGAATTCACACCTCGGCAGAAAGCAAAAATCGGCGGAAGCCAATCAGAACTCGTGCTGGTGGTAGTCAACAGTTTCTGCTTTTCTGCCAGCGTGAGTTCTGATTGGCTTCTGCTTTCCTGCTTTTCTGCCAAGGTGTGAATTCTCCCTTACGAGATGGCTGATGACAAGATTGAAGGGCGGAGATATGTCAAGTCAAATGCTTCCTGTGTAGCACAATATTCTAGGAGCGGACAATGTAGGAGAAACGAAAGAGAGAGTGAAACGTAGTGAAAGAAAAGGAGAACGCATTGATCATGTGATCAATGCGTTCTCCTCATGTACTTCTCCTCCTTCCTTCTCCTCGCCAACAAGATAATTACAAAAGCACCTTACTCTATTGCCCTCTCTTATTAATGCTGACCTGATCCCTCCTATAACAGCGCGCAGTCTGTTATATATGTCTATGGAAGATATATACTGCGTGTATATATGTGTATGAGTATATGCGGGCGTATATGAGAACATGAGAATGCTTGTAGGATAATTGTATACGCAACGTGAGGAAAGTTTAGTTTCATGCACCAATTATCATTTTCCATTGCCTAGCAGTTTTGGCACAAGGTTGAATTTCTTTTTAATATTGAAAAACTCTGTTTTACATACAGAGAAGGTATGCATGAGAAGCCAACGATGGCGGATTTGGTTAATTGAACACATAATTCATAGGTCAAAGGTAATGCAGGCGAAAAAGGAGAGCAGGGGAGAGCATCCTATAGGAGCGTAAAGCGCGACGGGTAAATATCTTCAATGACAATATTGACGCCAGAAAAAGATGTCAGACAAAGTAAATGTGTTTTAAGGGGATCACACCTTCTCTCAGGATATACTTTCTCATTAGGAATTCAGCAAAGGTATTTCAAAGCCATAAGATCTTTCTTAGTTGAATTATACATTTTTAATATGTGCAATTGTAATGCACAAATTCAATTATTAACGCATTCGTATACAGAAAGATAAATATACACAAAAAATGAAATCCTTAAAACTCTTTAACTTTGCTTGACTAAATTCTTTGCCGATATTTTTGGAACATTTTATCCGTCGCGTGTTACGCACCTCACTTTGCAAATACATTATAACGAATTAAAAGCAATAAGATGGAAGAAGAGATGTGCTACAACAAGTCACACCGCTATGACCAACAAATAAACTCGGAAGAGTTTCGGTAATCTGGGAACACACACACAGCATAAACATTATATACGACTTTCTTCAACTCTTGGCCTTTCAGCCAAGTTCTCGGAATGTCCACTTGACACAACTGTGTTTAATTAAGGGGTTCGAACGTAAAATCAGGTAACTGACATTTGCATAAATGTCAGTTGCTGGAGTTTACTGGGTTTTACCTTCAAAACCCTCAATTAGTTACTCGCTAATGGTTCCCGTCATCTTCGGGGTAGTTTCCCCCATGTAGCAATACACTTAATGAGTTGGTGTTCCCGCCGCTGCCTTAACAAGTTTAACAGCGACTTCTTTCCAACATTTACTCGCTCTCGTCCTCAAATTCGGCGCATCGCGAATCCGGAATTCTATAATAATCCGATCTGCCGACATTTCGGAATTTCCACGGAGAATTCGCGCGTCACGTAATTCTTCGCTACGCTCTCGGACGCGAATTTCAAATCTATATTTGAATTCCCCTCGGATTCGGTCGTAAGTATACCGTATCGATTTTATGATCGCGACATTCGGCAACGGAACAAAACAAAGAAAATGACGGAGGTGACTCGAGGGGATGGAGGAGAACGGAGAGCAGCGGAGGTGGCGGCGACGGCGGCGGCGGCGACCGTGAGGCCGACAGGGGGGTTGCTGAAGGGAGCCGGAGGGGAGAAAGAAATTGGTGTACAAGGGAACGGCCGTCGAAGTAAGGTGCTCCGCAAGCGTAGCCCGTAACTTTGGCCTATCAGGAACATCTGCGAGGAAACTGCGCGAGGAACGAGCCGAAGTTACCTGCAATTGACAAATTTCCGATGGCTACTTCGTGGCTGTCGCCTTCGCAGCAATTAGTCGCGATGGACTTTGGAAACACTCGGTGCATGACGTCGATCATGACTAATTGCCAGGAACAAGGCGATGCGCTTGATAAGTCTCTTCCGCCACTTCGCCTTTTGTGCCTTTGTCCGGCTCTCTCGCCTTCGCGATGGCGAATTGTTTGGAATCAGAACCGCGCGAGTTCAAATATTTTACGACTCTAAAAATGAAGAGGACCCGCGCTTCCCTCAAGGACCCTCTCAATACTTCCCTTCGACCGTTCAAGAAGTCAGGCCACTCAATTCAATAATCCGCTAAAATGCATACAAAAGCGCATTCGTCCGAAAGAGTGCGCGAGTCGAAAAGTCTCGTTCAAAGATCTTTCAACATCTACACGCATCGATCAGCGAGATCGCGCGGAAGCTATTTTAATCGAGAGACCGGCCGCGTCATTTCTTCGTTAATCCCGAAAGGTGTGTCGCA